GTCTGCTTATTGTCCTTTCTAATCAATCACGTTTCTTTCACTCTTAGTAACCTTTTGCAGCTTAGTGGCTTTATCGCCTTGCTTGGACTGAAAGGGTTAAAAATGCGTATGTAGCGTCTAATGCGTTATGGTGCCCAACTCAAGATGCTGTTGGTAAATATTTTCAAAGTTCGTTTCTCATTAGGGGAGTAACCAACCATTAACCACAAAAAACTAGAGACGAGGGATATATATATATATATATATATATATATATATAGAGAGAGAGAGAGAGAGAGAGAGAGGGAGACAGAAGAGAGAAACAATGGAGAGAGAGAGAAAAAGAGAGAGAGAAAAGAGAGAGAGAAAAGAGAGACAGACAAAAAGAGAGAGACAAAAAGAGAGAGAGACACCAAGAGACAAAAGAGAGAGAAAGAAAAGAGAGAGAGAGAAAGGAGAGAGTGAAAAGAGAGAGACAAGGAAGACAGAGAGAGACAAAAAGATAGAGCGACAAAAGAGAGAGAGAGAGAGAGAGACCAAGAGACAAGAGAGAGAGAGAGAGAGAGAGAGTGAGAGAGAAAGGAGAGAGAAAAGAGAAAGACAAGGAAGAGAGAGAGAGACAAAAAGATAAAGCGACAAAAGAGAGAGAGAGGCCAAGAGACAAGAGAGAGAGGGAGGGAGGGGAGAAAGAGGGAGAGAGAAAAGAGAAAGACAAGGAAGAGAGAGAGAGAGAGACAAAAAGATAGAGCGACAAGAGAGAGGCCAAGAGACAAGAGAGAGAGAGAGATAGGGGGAAGAGGGAGAGAGAGAGAAAAGCAAGAAACAAAAAAAGAAAGAGAAAAAGAGAGAAAAAGAGAGAAAAGAGAGTGAAAAAAAGAAAAAAAGGAGAGAAAAAGAAAAAGAAAATAGAGAAAAAAAGTAAAGGTCGCTTAACCCTTGAATCTCTAAGATAATCTTTAACTGAACTCGGGCCAGGACAATCGCTAGAAAATAACGACGCTTCAAGTTGGCACCCCGCCTACATCAGGCATTTCGAACTGTGTCAAATTAGTTTGATATGAACGGAATGAAAGTACGTTTTACTGGACAACGAATCGGAAAAAAAGAAGATATTCCAGCTTTGTGAGCACATCTGGACAAGATTGTCTGCGAATATATTGCCAAGGCATTAAGACTTTCTGACGAAACGAGGTCGGTGTGGAAATAACCAATTTTACACGGGCGAATCGATGCCAAAATGCATCAAATGAAACCAGGCAGGCGAAGATTACATTAAAGGTTCCGGTGCGTGTGCCCGATTGCAAATTTGTTTGCGAGTTTTATATCAGTGTTTGGGCTCAACATTCCAATCGTTCACTAGACATGAAACGACCTGTAATCATTTTTAAATATTGATTTTATTGCAAACTGATTTTTGGGAAATATTTATTCTGTCTATCTCTATATATATATATATATATATATATATATATATATATATATATATATGGTTGGATTGATGTGAGTTTGTGACCTAGGTTTCACGCTTTTGCGATCGTCAGACAAACTAATAAGTACCGCATATAATATATAAATAATATATATATATATATATATATATATATATATATATATTTATTTATATTTCTATACACACACTTTTCACACACACACACACACACACACACACACACACACACACACACACACACACACACACACACACATATATATGTATATAGATTTATTACCTTTACTATATATATACATATATATATATATTGTCCATTTCATAATGTGTGACGCCATTTGTTTACATCTGGATACGCTTCGAGCAGATATGAATGTACGTGAGAGATTCATGGCAGATTGAAAAAAAAGTAAAAGTAGTAAAATCGACCTTGCCAATCAAACGATTCTTCGTGGTTCGATCGGTTCTGTGTAGGATACAGGTTCGATTCCTGTCGGATAACGAATATTTTCTATGAAAATATCTCGGACATTCAGACCGGTAAATGTTACTAATACTGTTTATTATAAAACAGAACATTTATTTAAATATTTGTATCTATAAAAACAGTGTATAAACATAAAAATGTCTTAAAAATAATTGTTAGACTTTGTTCATCTCATAATATATATATATATATATATATATATATATATATATAGTAAAGGTAATACATTCGTGGATTTGGATCCTAGTAATATAAAATATTAAAACTGACCCAGAAAAAGAGCTCAATGTATTTAATATACAGAGTAAGTAAATATTTCTAAAATATAACCTGACTTAATTTTAATATAATTTTTCTAAATATAACTTATTTTTAATTTATAAGATATTTTTTACTTTTAAGTATAATTTATCTTTGGAAGAGTGTTTTTAAGTAGGAACTGTATTTTTTAAACTTAACCTTATCTATATAATTTTAATAATAAAAAAACACCTTTTCGTTTCTCTCTTAGTTTCAAAATAATACTTTATTCTTCATATAACACCAATTTAATATCATAAGGTTAATATCCGGGTTCAATTTTATAAAACCACTTCTCTAAGGCTATTACCTTTCACATTCCCCAGACCACTGGCTCGTGCCTTTGACGGAATCATTCAGACAAGGGGTGGTAGCGTATTCATTTTTATTAAGTTTTGTTGTATCCGTTATTAATTACGTTCGAAAAAGGGGTTGAAGTTTGAGGATGAGTTTTAAACGCACTGGAATTTCATAATTCAACCCCTTTTTCGAACGTAATTAATAACTGATACAACAAAAGTTACTAAAAATAAACACGCTACCACCCCTTGTCAGAATGATTAGATCTCTCTGTTTCCTTGGAAACAGTTGAATTATGAATTTTCAGTGCCTTTAAAACTCTGTAAATTTAAAAAATAAGTTACTCCAAAATTTGCTTGAGGATGAAATGGAACAAATATTTTTAATTTAATTACAAAATTAAATTTGAAGCTTTTAGCTTCCATTTTTGAAACATGGTCATTACTGTGTAGCGAAAAAAAACATATTTTAAACTAGTTAATTTATTTATATATATATATATATATATATATATATATATATATATATATATATAAAAGAAATATGTTGTAGTGGTTCCAACGAGAGAAAAGTATGTATATTAAAAAGAAGAGAGGTGCCGCAAACGTTTTTGGTTGTAATGTGGATTTATTTAGAAAAATATTATGCTTTGTTTTTACATAATTTTACGACACGTGTTTCTGGTCTCGCGACCGTCTTCAGGTAAAAGTGGAGATTTCTACATATTATTAAAAATAATTAATTTTCTTCATGTTCAATGTGAAATATTCTCGATATGAGACATTCTCTGTTTGTGTGTTGGTAATCCGAATTTCTTTCTTGAATTGTCAATGAAGAGTTCTGCGCGAAGGGTCATAAAACAATTAAGGTTTGTCCAGCGAGTAGTTATCGGCATTTTATCTTTTAATGTTTTAGTGACCCCTATGTGCTCTTGGATCTGTTTCTATTTTGGTGTGTTCTGTCAGCATGCGCGTATATATGCGTGCGTATATTTCCCTCCATACATACTATCTTACTACGAGGAATTCGTAGACTTATTTGTACCTATACACGCATACACACACATACGCACATACACACTATCCCACCACAAGTAATCAGTACACACACACATATACACACATATGTACATACCCTATATATATATATATATATATATATATATATATATATATATATATATATATGTACGTACCTCTACAGATTCGCTGGCAAATGACCGCACAGAATGAAAAAATGCCCTAAAGTTAATAAAAAAGATTTTTATTCTCAAAATCTTTGTTATTATTAAGAGGAAAATCCAAAGGATTTTTTGATCCTTAATTTAAAATTTTTGATCCTTAAATTATAATTTTTGATCCTTTTTAGAACGTTCGAAAATATTTTGTTTTCCTTTGTGTCAGCGGGGGACTATTAATTAGGATAAAAATTTGATGCGCCCTTTTTTGCGGTGAAAAACATTTTGATTTTGAAATTTTTGCAAAAATCAAATAATTAACGGATTTTAATGAAATTTTCAAGACTTATTCACAAATGAATATAATCACTTGAGAAAGGTTTTTTTTTAGAAAATCTTGGTAAAATCTTTTTTTCTTTTAAAATCTGTCCCCCCACTTATCTAATTTCATGAAATTAATTACTGTACCGTTTAATGTTTATATTAGTTATAAGCACAAGTCCTTGGAGAATTTAAATAATTTTTTGTAAAACAGGATACCAATTACCGAAAATCTGATCTGAATCGTAAAAGAAAACATGTAATAAACTAAGACATTATTTAATTAGAAAATCTTTTAATTGCTTTTATGAATGAGTATTCTATTTTCTTAAGAAAAATATTTCAATGAATAATTTTTACAACAATTTTTTCATTTAAAAATATTTAATTAGAATAATTTATAAAGTTTTAAATCTTTTAAAAATCTGTATTAATTTGTACCAGTTGATGAGACTGTTATTAATTAAAAACTATATTTACTAATCATAAATGATAAAGATTATTAGTAGCATTCTAGAAACCTCGTCTTTCCGCCATTTTTTAGCCACAAAATATAATTTTGAAATGGATAATTGTTCTGATGAACTTTCCTTAAAGGTACCGAAACGTTATGAATTTAAGCACAATACTAGATTGGAGTCAAAGTCTCATCTTTTTATACGTGAAATTCCGAGATGAAACCTACGCTAACAGTTTTGTTTATCCCACTTCTCGCTTGTGGAACTCGTCCAGTTTCTAGCTTCCTATGAAAAAATATAAATGTAATGTTAATCGTTATCTACTGTCTTAATTCTGTTTCTTTTAATGATCTCTCACATTGATAATGTTTTATTTTCTCATATTCCCTAAGAATGAATTTGCATCATTATTGCCTTGCTTGGGCTGAAATGATTTAATGAAAAAACAGTTAAACTGTTCACTGTCCGTGCGCCATATTAAACAAATGTCTCTCACGCTAAGCGTTTTATAACTATAGATAAAACTGT